CATCCATCCATCCATCCATCCATCCATCCATCCATCCATCCATCCATCCATCCATCCATCCATCCATCCATACATACATACATGCATCACCAATCCATCCACCATCCATCCATCCATCTTTATATTAATAATCTTTTTTTTTAGTTCAATTGGCTTTTATTTTTATTTTTTCAAGTAGACGGGAAATGGGATTAAACAGAGAGAAGAAAAACATGTGGCAAAGGTGACCAGGCAGCAGCTTGAACCTGTGACAGCTTCATCGAGGACTAAAACCTTTGCACATGGGTTGCAAGCTTCCATCCATTCACCCCACTAGCACTGGGGAAATATTTGCTATCAACTCGAATTGCTAAGTTCAACTCAAAATCCATATTTATTCTACTTGCTGAAAAATCATTAATGGTTTTGGTAGCAAGCTCCTTCATCAGACATGAAAGTCAACAAGCAAAAACTTCAAGTGAGGAGTTTTTGTTTCAACATCTGAAGGCACACAAGATAAAAGCTGCAATAATAGGCTGTAATTTTAGCTAAATGGCAGTTGGCTGAGTTTCCAGTCATTCAGGTGTACAGCAGTAATGCAGCTTAAAGGGTGTGTGCGTGTTTAGGGAAAGTAAATTTAGTCTAGATTTATATAGAAAGCAGACCTACTGTTAGTCCGCCCTTTATGGAAAGAACAAACCTACTGGCAGTCAAAAAAAAAAAACCCAGTCAGCACATTACAGGTTGAAACGTGAGCTTGTCCACATCTTCCCTCTCTATACCAAAGACACCCAATCTGCTGCGGTGACATAGTCATCCCTCTTGCATCTCTGTCGTTTGTTCTATTTATTCCAGCAGCATCAGCAGGACGGTGTTTACAGTTTGTCTTTGTTTTTCTGGTTGTTTGAGTTGAAATCAAAATGTTTAAATCAGGCTTGTACTTGTGCACATGTAGCTCCAGAAAGTCTGTGAGATATACTTTATATCACAAGGGTTGCCCTAACTTTATGACCCAGCAATATTCTTGTGGTGGCAATGGCGGTGTGACTGTAGAGCGTGAGAGACTGAGGGAAGGCCAAAATCTGTCTCATCTTTCATTCAGCTGGGTTTTTCGGTGACTTTACCGGGCAGCCACTTTAAGCACCATACATTTACACTGATGAGTCATGTCCACCTCAGCTCTATTGCCCCTGATTGGGCCTGTATCTAAAAGATCAGCACTATAACCGCTCAGTCTTTTACGCAAACAGGCCTTTCATTGTCCCTTAAAATTGCTTGTGGGCCCTTTGTTTCACATTATTACAACAGCTTTTAAGAAAGCATAAACTGCCACAAAGTTGATGTGTTTTACACCAAGGCTATAAAGATTTATCTGAAAACCCTCTCAAGTCTCAACTTGCAGCATATGCACATACAGACGGAGGTTATGACACTAAATGCTGACTGAAAGGTAGTAAAAAGAATAGCAGTTATGAATATTTTTAACCCAGAATCTGAAGCTGTAAATATAAATAAAACCGCACATTTTAAACGGTACGTAAAAGAAATAAATAAAACTGGGCCGCTTTAATGAATATGTGGTCGGGTTATCTGTTTGATGTGTGCATCAGGAAAATTCATTTGTGTGCTTTTCTTATATATGGGAGGCAGACAGACAGAGTGGAAAACAAGCCACCATGGCAACCAACCATGGCGGCAGTCTAATGATAGACTGCAAACTCTAAACCATCATCTGCATCTCTGGGCTTTTTCCCCCCTTTTTCCTCTGTGCAGAGATAACCGTGGAAAGTGATGTCATTCATTGCCTGAGTTTATACATCAGATGCCATATAGAAAAGCAGAAAACAATAATCCTGTGGCTTTTCTGTCCGACGGGCTCTAGTTTCATAACTGTCTGAAAAAGAGAGCGTGTTCCAATTTTTTTTTTTTTTTGTTTTTTTTTCAAGAGACACCATATGCAGTGTTTTCTTCTTATTTGGGTCTACAGCTGAACATGTTTTTCTATGTGACCAGGGAGCCTTGAAGAAGTCATTGATCCCCATAGAGAAATCCATATTTCTTTTATTCCACATATCCATCAACCTCAAATCCACAGGTCTCACCACCAATCTGAACTCCTCGTTAAATATTTTCACATTACGTGAAAATCACAGATATATTTTCGTGGGATATTATCTTGTAGAACAGCACAAATTAATTTTAGCCTGTGGAGTTTTTGTGCAATTTTCTATAGACTTACCATAAATCCAGCTGGTCTTTGAAGGCTTCATTTGTTTGTTTGAGAACATTGTAAAGCCTCATGGCATACAGGAGACAAATGTATACAAACTAAAATTCAAAATTTTCATCAGGTAGTCAATTTCAAAACTATTGTGTTTTTCACAAGTATGCCTCACTTTGTATTCAGATAGAAGATGTTAGCCAGATGAGGAAAAGTTCAAGGATTATCGATACTTTTGCGAGGAAATATAATTTTGTATTGGAATATAACAACTCATGAATTTATTTATTGTACTCATCCAGCAACTCACTGTTTCCTCCTCTCGTCTCTAGGTTGAAGTGAACCCTACCCTGGACATGGCTGAGTCTGATTTCCAAAACAATGTGATGCGCTGCAGGTGCAAGTACGATGGAGCACGAGTTTACCTCTTCCGCTGCCATGCAGGTAATGCTGCTTGTTGCTCATGATACCCCATCCCCATCTGTCAAAGAGTTTTAAATAATTGTTTTCTTCTTATGTTTTTCTTTTTCTCATCAGCTGATGCCTACAGCGCTGAAGAGGAGGACTTGTTTGACCACCAGCATCAACTTTCCAATAACTTCTTGTGAATTAGGGAACATTTAAGAACTGTACAACATTTCTCCAGACCTCAGAAGTCTGGTAATGAAGAGTGAATGAAAGTTAATAAAACAAAGAGCTGAGGAAAAAGGGAAAAAAGAGGGAGGAAGGAAAGGACAGAAATTGCTGTTTAGGATCATGTGATAGATAGGGAAGAAGATAGAGAGAAGATTATCATTTTGTTTGGAAATTATACAGAAATAAAGAACAAATGTAGGACGAGAAAAGGAGGAAAACGAGACAAAAGCTGGACCATGATTTGTGATAAAAACAGTTTACAACTTTTGAATACATGTCTTGTTATTTTAACAAATGTTAATGCCTCATTTAAAATCATAATCACAGTTGAAAGTATTGATATGAAGGCATATGAGGAGAAACTATCATGGATCAACTGATTGTCAGCATATTTACCCAGGTAACAATGGACCTTAAGAACATTCACTGTCCAGCTGACAGCTTCCAGGATTTACTGTTAGGACTGTGTGTTTTTCTATATTTTATTTTCAATTACATTTTATTTCATCTCATGGTGCTATTTTGCTTCTGTTTAAATAAATACTGTAATGTATTGCAAATGTATTGTCATGTACAGTCTTATATTACCTCTCTCAACTATTGTTCTTCAGGTCTTTAATTTATGCAGAATTTTAATGTACTTTAAGGTTGAAACTTGTTTGTATTGATAATTTTATTATGACAACTACTTCCATTTTGTTAGATTTTTCCTTGTTAAAGACAAGGGAACAACATGAGATCTGGTTGTACCAAGACATCACGTTTCAAAGTACTTGATAACAGTAGTGACAAAATAAAAGTCAGATTGACAAAATCTCTGATCATTTCAGTACTGGTTATTTATGGGCAGAGCCTGCAACTGCCAGCTGAAATTTTAATAAAGAAACACATAGAAAAAGCTGTATATATATATATATATATATATATATATATATATATATATATATATATATATATATATATATATATATATATATATATATATATATATATATATATATGTGGTAGATATGTTTTTATTTTAATCAGATAATATTCAGGTGTGAGAAGGCGTTGATAAAACAACACATTTAACTTCATAGAATGTGTTAATCATGGTCAAACAGATAACTCTGCACATATATAGAATAACTTCAAAATGTAGGACTTTATTAGCAAAAATTATTCAGCCCCAAGTCTGAAGTCCAAACTAAAAAACTCAACTAAACTAAGCTAAGAAGGTACTCAAAGAAGGAAAACATGTTTGAAAACCATAAACAATACAGTTACGCAGTGATATCACCAAAATCAGCTTTTACACCACAATTTCCCCATTGTTGGACAATAAAGGGATTTTATTTTCTATTCTATATCACAGTTCAGCATGGATTATAGGTTTGAGAACCAAGTTTTATGTTAAAGAGGTTGTAATCAAGTCTTTAGCTTTTAATTAATTTAAGGCAGTTGGAATTTGTTCAATTGGCAATGTAAATCTAGGAGATAAATTAAACTTCATTTGGTAAAATTATATTTTATTAAATGATTTGCTTCATCAGAAATCAATGAATTGGTCTTAACCCTTTTTAATTAAGCCTATAGCTAGCAGAAACAAGGGGACTCTCTAAAAGGATTGGTCATATTTTAGTAATCAAATGTGATTAGCATATGAGTTATATTACTATTTAAACCATTTGTGAAGTCAATTTTGTTTTACCTTTATAAACAAAGGATCAAAACTGGTCAGCATGGCATACATCTAACATATCTTGTTAGCTTGTCTTACACAACTGTAAAGGCCTGCAGCTGCTTCACTCTAGTCTCAGGCATCTCAAAGATTCCTGTAAACTTAGAGAAAAATGTTGCAGATTGTTCTGTTTTTGCAGATATTTGACTACAGTGTTAGCCACCAGATCCACTTAGACTTTGATCAGTCTGCAGATTTTTGATTCTTTGGCCTGAATGGTTTTTATTCATGGGGTCTCTTTGATGTGTATGGCCTGGGATTTTGATTTATTCATTTGAACAAGAAAAATCATCTTAAAAGTATATGTATTTTAAAAAGATACAATAAAAACAAAAAATATACAAGGGAGGCCAATGAAGCTTATCAACATCCCACCCAAAGTAAAAACGACAACAAAAAATCCACTGTAATACACAACATTCACAAAACATTACAGAGCCAGTCAATTGCAGCAAACCCAGCAAATGCTCATGCAAGAGCTATAACTTTAGGCCATGCCTATATCCAGACAATGTTATCAGTGTTGCAACCATATGTATTAATTTGTTCCAAGATTTTGCCCCATGATATCTGATGTGATATTGAAAACAAGTAGTTCTGTGCAAAGGTAATTAAAAATGAGCAGCCTGTCTTGTTGGATAATTATAAAATTGAAGGTTGTGCACACAATATTGTTTGATAAGCAGCAGGATCAGCCCTTAAAAGCGGATAACAAAAACATGAAGCAGCTACATTGTCCCACAGTGGGGGGGCAGGATAGCATGTCCCTGTCAGAGTGTCTTACGAGAATGGGGTTTGCAGAAATTGAAGAGGAGAGTCCAACAGAAGAGGAAAAACTGCATCCTTTTACACCAATTATAACAGTTAATATCAGTATGGACATTGGTCCGATCCATCCATCTTCTCACCATTAGTCCTTGTCAGGGTTGCAGTGGGGCAGGTGACTATCTCTGGCAGTCTATGAGCGAGAGGAGGGGTACACCCTGGACAGGTCGCAAGTCTACCAAAGGGCAATACAGAGACACACAACCATGCACACACACACTCTACAAGGTAGAGAAGCCAATTAACCCAACAGTCATGTTTTTGGACTGTGGGAGGAAGCCGGAGTACCTGCAGAAAACGAGGGCATGAACAGGGAGAACATGCAAACTCCATGCAGAAAGACCCGAGGCCAGTAATTAAACCCACAACCTTCTTACTGCAAGGCAAGAGTGCTACCCACTGAGTCACCATGCAGCCAAGACATTGGTCTTCAATATCCAAAATTATTAGCATGGTTAATGACCAAACAGCAACAATAGCCTTCAATGCTTACACTCAGAGGCACCCAAATTAAAAATCTAAAGCTTAAACAAGTTAAGACAACTTAAAAATCAGCAATGATAGTGTTTGCAAATGTTTCAGTAAGCAACGATTAACAAATATATTTGTGTGGGTGTCATTATTTATTCCCTTCTTCAGGCACTAAGATAGTTTATGTGATTTTTACAAAAAAGTTTCAAATACAATTTTTTCTGTGTTGGTTTATTTATATCACTGGAATGTATAAGTATTGCTAGCATAAATATTGAATATCAAATTACAGGTTGCCTTAGAACACCCCATACTTTAAAATTACTATAGATACAATTCTATGGTGTTTTTTTTGTGCCCTTGTGCTGTAACCAAAGAAAAAAAAAGAATAAAATATTTCTACTAATATTAATAAAATATTTATATTAAAGTACTTCGACAGAAATACCACAATTAATGCAAAGTTTTACCTTTCAGATTTCAGCAAGTCAGATGATGTAAAGTAGACCTGAGTGTTGCTGCTAGGATACACAACATTACCCCTTCTCTGGGGGTCAGTTAGTGCGCTGGTGCATGAGATTATTCCTTTATTTAGACCCTACCTCATTTCATTTGCCTTATGAAACACATTTCTATGCAGAGCAGAGCTTGCACTTGTTCCCACCACTTGCTCAGAAGTGTTTTATGTCTGTGTTGTTAATCTAATGATTGCATGAGTCTCTCAGCACACTGCTCTGTGGTATATCACCTCCTTGTGAAGCCGCAATAAAAAGCATGACATTGTGGGCAGGGCTCAGATCTCACACGATGATGGTTGACAAAAAGAAAAGCTGCTCTCTGCATGTCGCTAAACCAAAGACAACAACAAACAAGGAGGTTGACTAAAAATATGTAGGGAAGCATATTCTACAGAAGACGATCCAGATGTTTCAATGTGTTGTTTCTTGAATGTAGAATAATCTACCTACCAGAACCCTGGCTATCTTCAAGACACTAATGCTAAGTTAGGAGATGCTATCTGAGGAGATGGGCCCTCAAGTAAAGCTGTACTTTCCTTCCCCTTTAGCTTTCTATTCATGAATTTCACTCTTTCACCACAGACATAATCTAATCAGCAGCCCTTTTTCTAATTATCTTAAGGAATAAGAACTTGAGTAGCTCCGAGTGTTTTAGAGTATCTTTCTGCCAGCTTTGCACATAACGAAATGTATAATTTATCCATCTTTCTTAGAATGTAGGTCTAGCCCAGATTGGATGGAGAGTATTCGTAAATACTAGGGTTTAAGTCTTGCCTCACATTTCCAGTTGGTTTTGGGTCTATTCCAGTTCTAAGATGTGTAAATGCTTTAATTTAATCATTTCATTATAGCTCTGACTGTATATTTAGGAGTGCTGTCATTCTGGAAACTGTACATCTTTTCCACTCCTCAGTCTTTTTTAGCCTCTAACAGTTTTAATTAGCTGATTTGCCCTGTATATAAGTCTAATTTGATTCAATTATTCTTTTTTAATTTTATTGTTTTATTCTTATTTTATATATTTACTGGACCATGACTCTGAAATTAAGTCTATCTATCAATATATCTATTAGATTTCCTACCAAGGCTGTGTAACTCTGAAGTAACATATTTGTCCAAATTTCTGTCTTTTTTTCCCCCTTTCTGTTCTTACTGTAAGTCATTTCTTCTGCTTCTCTAGGTTATATACGATATTTACGGATATATATATATATATATGGATTTTCAGGTTGGGAATCTTGAATTTTGCAGATGGTGAATTGAACATTGCTCTGCAAAATGTCTCAAATTTGGCATTTGGTTGTATATCCTAACTCTCCTTTGAAGTTCTCATCAACTTTATCCCTGACTGGGATTCTCCGCTAAGCTGAGTTCATAATGTTTTTACGATTTTCACTAATATTCTAAAGAAAAACTCAGAGGCCTTCGTAGAAGATTTGATGGATTTGATTTTTAAGTACTTTTGAACACATGAGATGTTTAGATCAACAAAACAGAGATGCCATGATATGGTTTGCCAATTTACTAAACATAAGAAAACTCTATCTCTGAAGGCAGCAATTTCCAAACTCTTTTCCTAAAAAAATGACATTCTATTGTTCTATTATTATCAATAATTGAAATGTTTCAAGCCTGTGATTATAGTCGATATCCTTCTAAAATAAGATTTAGTTTTTCCTGAATCAGACTGAAAAAACAAAATTATTATAAGTCATTTTCTCTGTTGGAACTATAAAACAAAACTAATAATCCCAAATAATGTTACAAACTTGTATCTAAAAGTGCTCAGCTGAAATATTTTATTAGTTTTTACTTCAGTTTATCTGCAATGTTTAAATCAGTATGCTGCAGCTAATCTCATTGTGGGGAGTGAATAAAAGTGCAAGGAATACTGGTTTTATTTTCTTTATTTTGTTTTATATTAATACAACAATGCTATTGTATTACTTTTTTTTTTTTATTAATTCAAAATGCAGACATATGTTGAGCAGAAATGTATAAAAACTGCATGTTCCTTATCCTTTAAAAGCAGTTGAAAGTCTCTTAAAAATCAGAAAGTCCATGGTCCAACAGATTGGAATCACAGTTTAAATTTTTAACACCTCAGCAGAAACAAGATCATGACGATAAAATATCATCCATTTGAAGCAACTTGAAATCTAAAATACTATGATTAGTTCTCCCACAAAAACTTTCCTTAAAGCATTGCTTTTTAAGGAGTGTATAATGATTACTCTTTAGAAGCTGCGGCGTTTAATTTTGCTTTCTACAGTAAGATCAGCACAGCACACTGTCACCAAAATGATGAGTTTCTAACATCAGTTTTTGCATAACTGGGGGGATTTCATATTTGAAACAAATAGGCAACTAAAAGGAACATAACAGAATTATTTTTCTTTTTATGTTTTACATTTCAACACAGAGTGAAGTTAACACTTTAAATTTAGTTTTACAACATATAGAGGCGCCCTGAGAGTAAAGGACAAATCTACAGCTTTTACACATCATTTCGGGTATAGGAAGTGAGTGAGCGGCAGTGCCACATGGTCTGTGGTCAGCTAGACGAAACCGCAGAGGAGGTGTTGGTCTGAAGCTGCCAGAACATGCTCCAATTCAGGAGGTGAGTGTGTGTTGCCATGTATTTGGGACCTTGTGGGGATAGTTTAAGGTTAATTTCCCAGGTTCATGCTACATGGTGGGGACTGACGGGTACCTGACTGGTCCCCATGAGGTAAAGTTCTCTTCCTGGGTTTCGGGTTGAGGTTTAGGACTAAGCTGGGAATTTAGTTTAGGATAGAATCAGGTATATATATTGTTAAAGGTTAGGGTTTGAAACTAGGTTTTTACCTAATGTTTAGTTCTCTCAAAAAAGAAAACTTTCCTTAAATAAATGGGGGAATCAGACGGTACATGGCAGAATTATTATTCCCACTCCATTTAACCTTTTCTCAATCAAGTACATTCAATTTCTGTTCAGGACCAATGGAGTATTTCTGAAATGGGATTTTACATGACAGTAAACAAAAATTGGTAATTGTTCAGAAATTTTAGCTAACAGCAAAAAGCATTTTTTATACATTATTCTTAAAATACAAAAGCTAGAACCAGATATGTACATTTATATTTGACCTGTTTACTTTGAACTTCATCAAACTGATTGGTTTGGTATAGAACAATCTGAGAGGCAGCAACAAGGCCCATGGTAACTTTGGAATACACCTTCAAATGATGGTGGCAGCATTATAATGCGGGGAAGCTTCTCTTCAACAAAGAGAAGCTGACTAGGTTTGATGGGAAGATGGATAAAGTTAAACCCAGGTTGATTCTGAAATAAAACTTGTAACAGGCTGCAACTGGGTCTGGTGTTCTCCTCACAGCAGGACAATAACCATAAACATACACTCCACAGCTACAGTGAAATGGTTTGGATCAAAGGATAGCCATGTTAAACCTTCATTTATAGTCTTTAATTTATTTGGGAAACTGTGGAAAGACTTAAAAAGTAATAAAAAAACTTATACAAATAATAATAAAAAAATATGTCAACACATGAGATTAACAGGTTGAGCTACAACGAGGGGAAGCTTTAACAAAGTACTGACTCATAAAAGGGCAGAATTGGATTACACACCTCATTTGTCAGATTTTCATTTGAGAAAAAATGTTACCGGTAAGTGTCTTTTCCTTCCATCTTCTCACTTTTTTCTTTCAAGTATTATCTTCTCAGCTAGAAAAGAAAAATAAAACATTTCAAACTTGAGCTGGGACTGTACTTAATTTTTAATGGTTCAGGTAGCAATTCATAATCTTACACTTCAGTGTTTGAAAAAAACATTAAATAGGTCTTTCATTCGTCAAGCTTCCAAAAAAGGGAGACATGAATTTTGAACCCATTCAAATACAATTCATAAAAAAAAAAGACTTGTAGACGGGCTTTAAAAAACAGGAAAGAAAAAACAAAGCAGGTATGAATGATACAAGACACTGAAATGTGAATATAACCAACCTGGCTTATATCCAATTCAACAGTGCCTTCATTAAATGAAGTTAGAATTTTTTTACAGTGATAAAATTAAAGACGAAGATAAAAGCTTTGTATTAGGACAGAAATATATTTCAAATCATTTGAAACTCAGGGGTGTCCGTGCTTAACACAGATATATATGAATCCTGATATTTGCTCCAACCAGTACTGGCTCAGACAAGACAAACAGAGCTGAAGTTCAAGTTTAAGTAGCTTTTTTCTATTAAAAAAAAAAAAAAGGTCCATTCATTATTCACTTTCCATCCCAAGCATCTTCCCTTTGTCTGGCCGCCAGGCGCTTTTGCTCTGAAAGGTAAATCACATGCAGACATGTTATACAAATGAAGACGTGGAAGCATCTATACACACAAAGAAGAATCTAGTGAAGGTGAATCATTGGTCTAAATATACATCCGTTTTTACCACAAGTAGGGATTTAAGCAGCGGTGAAAGACTGGGGAGCCAATAGTAAACAGTTAGTTTCTGGGTTTTTTTTATTTTTTATATGTGGTATCACTTCCAAGAACATACTGTTTAACACATGACGCTGTCCTGTACTCACATTTACTGTGCATTTGCAGATCTTAAATACAGAGCATGGTGGTGTGCCTTATGCTGTGAAGAAAGAAGCTTTTTTTAGCTTGCTGCAGTCCGGACCTCTGCTTCCTGAACTGACTGTTCGTTGGACTGTAGCTGTGGTTTACTGTGCCTATATACTTATGTTCCCTTCATGAAGGAAAAGGACTGCTGTGCTGATTATAGAGCTGCAGTGATGTGCATGGCAACTGATGGATTTCTCTTGGCGTCAGTTTGCAACTTTCTGCTGTTCAAGTAGCTCCCTCTTGTGGAGGAAACTCTCTAGTGCAGGCATTGATCCTTTCAGGTAAAGGGAGGGGTTTGCTCCTTATCTGATATAATTTATTTGATATAAAGGCTCTAACGGGGAGTTGGAGATATTGTCAAAATAGGAATTCAAGAAGTGTTTTTTTTTTTTTTTTTATGATAAAGGTAGAAAGAATTTTTTTTTGTTTAGTTTTTCTTTTCCAAACCATATCACCAAAAAAAGATACATCTAATGTGTCTGTATACCTTTGGCCTGTTGGAGTTTCTTTCTCTCTGCCTCTCGCTGCTCCTTTGTTAAGTTGCTCTTCATACCGAGTGCTCCGATGACAAGCTTCCGAGCCAGTGCTGCACTTGTCTGAGGTCGCTCTTTAGCAGGCAGGAGGTATTCTTAGAATTAAAAGAACAGTGAATTGAAATGTACATACTGTGGAGAGACATTTATGGCAATAAAAAAAGCAGTTCGTACACAAACTGTCAGTTGCAGCTTATCATGATCCTGGGGTCAAAGGATCCAGAATTATAGAGCGAGCATCCCTGGTTAAACTAAACAGGGAATTCCCCCCCAAAAAAACAATTGTACCGTCTTTTTGGAAATTTAAGTTGGAAAAACATTTCCATTTCATTATTGCTTTGAGGTACTTGAAGCAAATGAAGGGTTAACTGTAGAGAATCTGACAAATCACACAAATTAAGATACTGTCTATAAAGGTGCATTCACAAAGACGTGGTGTCCCATAGTATCCCAATGCAAACGGTGCAGAGAAGAGCAGTCACTACTCACCGTGTGCTGCTTGAGAGATGTGTGCCGTTGTTAAACAGCAGCATAGCGTGGGGAGAGAGCTGAAGTTGAAAAATTGAACTTTCCTGTGAAATCGTGTTGCATCAACCAATCAGGGAACGGTTATTGTTGTGACGTTCCTTGGAAATATAATTTCACAGGACCTAAAGTGGGAGCTGAACATCAACTCCCTCAACAAGAAAGCTCAGCACAGGATGTACTTCCTACAGCGGCTGGAAAAATGTAACCTGCCAAGTACACTAATTGTGCACTTCCACTCCTCCATTATTGAGTCCATCCTCACCTCTTCCATCACCATCCAGCACGCTGGTGCCGATGCCAAGTACAAGGGTAGGCTACAGCGTGTCGTCCTGTCTGCAGAGAAGGTGATTGGCTGCAATCTTCCATCTCTCCAGGATCTGTACGCCTACAGGACTGTGAGGCGTGCAGGGAAGATTGTGGCGGATATCTCGCACCCCAGCCACAAACTATTTCAGTCACTTGCCTGTGGCAGGAGGCTGCGGTCCATCAGGACCAAAATCTAATGCCACAAGAACAATTTTTTCCCAGTCGCTACCAGCCTTAACAAGGAGACCCCGTGACACTGTCACTGCCTCTCTCAATCCCTCGTTCAGGACCCACAGTAGTAGCCATTCAAAATTTCCCCACTTTCCTTGATGGGCCCTTGGCTAGTTCTTGGCTGGTCCCCTACAATTCCTTTTTAAACATCAATATTTGTACTAAAATATTATTTCTGTCATGATTTGTCGACATTAAGATCTAAACGGAAGCGCCATCTCCTGGTCAGATTATATAATTCAGTGAAATGGTTGAGTTAGAGTAAAAAGAATATGCAAGAGGGCATCACTCCAGTGGCTGGAAGTTGGAGGGGATTTCGCTGGGTGTTGGAGGGAAGAGGGCTGCCATTTGGCTAGTGTTTGACTGGGAAAGTAACAGCTGTTCCATTTTGAACAGCTGTTACTGTAGAAGGTGCACCAACGTAGCATCTCCACACCTCCTGCGTTACATTAACGCACAACCTACTGTGTATATAGTAAATGGCTATATACTATATATTTTATATAGTATATTGCATTTTTTATATTGGATATAGCTACAGATTCGGTATACTGTATATATACCTAAGTTGTCTTCACCATCAACACCAAGTCAAATCCCACTTTGCAATAAATCTGCTTCTGGTTCTGATTTGTTAAGTTTTTTCACATGGGTAGGGAGTCAGCTCCATGCAACTCAAGCTCCTCCCATCCGTTAACGCAGTCCGCAGTGAAGCCCTGTATATTAGAAATGCACAGCAGTAAACCTGCTACGGTACTAGCAGAAATTACCACAGATACTGTGTTCAGTTTTAAATGTCAGGCTAATTCTACTTATTGTTGTTCTTTTGTCTTGCAGAGATTTAATCAGTTTTAGTTTCTCTCTGTCTCCTTCAGCCTCAAAAGCAAGAGTACACTTTAACCTCTGAACCGATGTTTTACCTTAGTTTTTTGCTTACAATCAGTCAAAACACTTAAGCCTTAAGTAAATCAATGTGTTAGACAAATGTCAATTTTACCTGACACATGTTGGTAAGATTACACAAACTGATTACCCTCTTCTTTGTATAAATGCTCTGTGCTTAAAGGGCATAATTTTCACAGAACAAAAAGGCATAAAAATTATGATTGTAATCTTACAGTATAAAATCCATGGTTTTATTTCATTTCAACTGTCTAAACCCCACTGGTGTCAATAGAAACGGTAATGTACACTCATACCTGAGCAGCTGCGGGCTTTAGCCTTTGTTGCATTGGAGGATTTGGACAGTGGTCTTAATTTCATTAGTGGGTTTTTGGATCTCAGAGCTTCTCGGGCTGAAAAGGAAAAAAAAATATATGATGGCAGAACAGACTCAAATAACAATATTATTAGCACACTTACTAAAGGTCTGTTACTAGTAAGTGTGTTAAAGCACCAAATTTAATTTACAACAGAGATAAATTATTGCCTGTTACAACCAGTCTTTCAAATCTCAAATGAAGGTATGAATTAATGTGTGGATGAAACAAAACTACCATTGGAAGATGACTTTTTTGTACTGAAAAGTTTGGGTATAAAATGGCCCCAAAAAAAGTGATAGAGAGGAAATGTCTAGCAACCATCCAGTGCTAAAAATGGGGTGAAACTTCACTGACCTGCTATGGGGCTGGAGAAGAGACCTAGGGCATGTTTGTCATCAATCCACTTGATGTCGAATCCTCTCTGTCTGAAAACAGACAAACCAACAGTCACATGAATCCAGTACTGATCATTTCAGAAAACCTAAGAGTTTTTAATCCAAAAGATCTGACTCTAATAAATTAAATGCTCCATTTGTCAAATAAACATGGAGTAGGGGCAGTTTAACAACTTGCATTGTTGACCACCTATAGAGCAGCAATGATAAGCCAATGATTTGAAGCAATTTGGTTGACCAGACCATGAATCTGTTCCTTCAAAACCTTTACTTTCCAAAGCAGTCCAGAGTAAGAAACACCAGCACAGCAAAAATTACCTCTACCAATATTACTTTAAAAAGTAAACAGTAAAGTAAATAAGAAAACTCTGGGAAATTCCTTACGGCCACTTGTTAATCCGCTTTGGGAACAAAGCTTACTTTATTTTGGGTGTTTTTTCTGTTTATTGTGGGGGGGTGTTTTGGGGCGTTGGCATTGAAGCTTTTTCAAGTGAAATATAACTTGAAAATAGAGCTAGAAAGCAACAATCATTGCTCCATTTGGCCAGAAATGACAAGAGGCACTGACCTGGAAATGCAGGAAAACGATAATGGAGTCCTGTGAGCAGCACATCTGCTGTTATTATAGTTGTGAAATCATTTTTGAGTCAAAGCAGATGCCAAGATATTTTATTTCTCAGTTCGAAAGGTGGCAGAGAAGGCACCATCCTGAAAGCAGTGTTGCTAAGCAACACACTGCAAATCCAAAGAGTATGATTCCTTTAGATGGTATGGACTAAGGTCAGTTTGTATTAATACCAGGAGTTAACTAAATTTGACTTCTTTGGGAAACGGTCCAAGACCAACTCAAAAAGTAGGTTTCAATCTGGTTGGTTTGATAGAACTTTAACACTTGTGCTAAAGTACAGATCTTTTAGCGTTCAGTAGTGACCGATTTTGACCCGATAAAATATAATCAGAGTCATATATACTTTTATTACTTTGCTAATTAATTGAACAAGTGACATTACTTAAACAGAGAACAATGGTCACGAAAAATCTGGGGATAACTGACCCCATATTGCAATTAGTTACATAAGCTTTAAATAGAGGTAGATAGAAGTGGAGTGTTTCTATCTGCTAACTTGTATTGGAGATTTTAGATGCAGGCCGATAAACCCTGATATTCATTTATCTGATATCGGACAAACTTCTAATAACAAGATAGGATTGGTACCAATCAAAATATTATCAGATTTTTCCCAAAATATGGTCCAAACAGATAGAATTGTACATACTGATAGCACTGAAATAACTTTACAAGATCTTCCGTCTTAAACTCTGTGGGGAAGTCGTAGATTTCCACAATATGAGAAAGTTCATCCTCTGTGAGATCTATTTCTTCTTCATCATCCAAGTCCATGTTGTAGTAGTCAAATCTAGGTTCCTGGATCGACTTCTTCTTTCTGCCCTCGCTCAAGGACAGCTAAAAAAATAAGAGATGGGAAAATGTGATTGAAAGTAGACAGTTTTGTTGGGATTCTGTGTTACTCTGAAGTTAAGCTAAACATGTAAAGTTCTTTTGATTATATATTGGATCATAAATCTGAACTTTTTTAGTGCGGAATGACTACACAACAACTTTAGCCATAGGAAATCATGAGTTACATTGATTTATTTTTTTAAAATGAAGCATGGTTTAAAAGCAATGTCTGATTTTCCTTTGTTCCTTTTCATAGGATTATTGTTACTTTTGACAGACTGTTTTTTTTTTTTTATCTGTGAGCATTGTAGGCATGTTGAGCTTGAACATCTTTTTCAAACGCTAAACTACTCGGTTCCCCCTCATTTGTTCCTTTTCATAGGATTGTTTAATTATTGTTACTTTTGACAGATAACACTTTTTTTCTTCTGTGAGCATTGTAGGTATGTTGAGCTTGAGCTTCTTTTTCAAACACTAAACTACTCGGTCTCCCCCTGACCCACACAGAAAAAAAAGAGGAAAAAAGTTTACAATTCATGCTTCTGAAAACCCTGATTCTAATCCTATAGAAAAAGTAAGGACTGTACCTAAAAACCTCAAATTAGTTGCTCTATTCATGGCAAAGGACAGTGCTGAAATATAAAACCCATTATGTACGAATTGTGATGAGGGGCACAATAGTCATCAATCGAAGTTCAGCCTGAGAGCGCATCACCTAAATATTTGAGGTGTGCAATTCTGTCCTTATTTAAGAACTACTCAGATCAAATCAGAATTGTGCATCAAATTCTAATTTTTATTGTGTTATTATCTCACCTTAAAAAAAAGATAAAAGAAGCAAAAGGGTTCTATTCAATAGTGAATAGAAGAACATGCGGATCAGCTCTCACCTCTTCCAGCAGATGGGGATCCAAACAGTCTCCATCATCATTGAATAAAGTTTCCCAGCTCTCCTCCTCTTCTTCTTCTTTTTCCTCCAGAGGGGATGCTGCTTCAGCCTCTTGCTGTCCATTAACCACTCCCTCTGCCTCCTGCAGTCTCTCCTCCTCTACATCCCCGCTCTGTGTGTCTCCCTGTCCAACGGGTACCTTGTCCTTGTCCCTCCTGTTTTTGGCGTTCTTTCGTGCCTTGTCTGTATATCGAGGTTTAGGTTTTGGTTTATCCTCTCCTTGAGTCTGGGCTTTGTCTTTAGTGGTCTGGCGTCTTTGTTTGGGGACGTACAGAGCCTGGCTGGGTTTCTTGGCCTCACACGGAGCTGGAGATGTGGTCTGGGTTGGATTGCAGTCCTCCTTTGACTCTTCTTCTTTTGCTTTTCCAACCTCCATGTTTAAACTACAATATCTGTATGCAGCAGGAAGTGGAGAGTGTTACGTTCGAAGCAACAAAATTATATTTTCTAAATCCTGTTAGAACAGTCTCTACGTTATAATTGTGTTATAATTAAGATGTAAATATGCCGATTAGACAATCTCCGATCACTTGACGCGGTCAATTTTCCAAATTAAACCTCTACTATCGCAGAACGATTAAATAACGTTTGTAAATAGCGTAGCTAAGCCATTAAAGACAATAAGTAAATTCAAGTCTACTTTTTCAATTCAATTTAAAACAAATTTCCGACCTTAAGCTTACCCGAGTTTGGTTTGGTTTGTTTAGCAACAGATTTTGTCGCGTCCTCTTACGTAAGCAAGGCTAACCGCAATGCATCATGGGAAATGCTGTTCTTTTATGTGCCTACGCTTGAAACCATAGCTTGAAACAGCCTTGATAAAAGCGATGCTGATTTGCGACTGATCAATTTAGGTTGTAAGACAAAATAATTTAATAGAACAATTTAAACAAAATAAATGTATCTATTTTAATATCATTTACAGCCCAAGTAAGTGGAGTGGGAACATTTTTTAAACCTGACAAGGTAATCGTGCACCAGAAAACCACTGGATTGCTGACAGCCTGTTGGTAGTACATGGTGCTGTGAAGCCAACACCCAACATATTGGTACTACCTAGTTAGACTGGTCGGAATGTAAACAATAATTGCGCTACAGCACCAAACAACGATGATTTATCTCATTTCCAGACTTTCAAAATAAAGATAAATTCGGTACTTTGACATACACTTGTTGTTTCATAGCATCAGTGCATTACTGTAATTTATAAAATAGGCACATCATTTAACATATTCAGTATGAAGGCCATTAGGAGAGTGGCGGCCTACCGGTTAGGGCATTGTGTTAGGGATCCTCAGGTTCTGAGTTCGAGCCCCACTCCCACAGACTGCCACTCTGACTCCCTGAGCAAAGACCTTTAACCCCACACTGCTCCCCGTGTGCCGCAAGATGGCAGCGCACTGAGATCAATTAAGTTCAGTTATTAGTATATTATTATGAAGTCTATACATCATGTAATATAACACATTATACAAACCCACCACAACAAAATGTGTGTGTTAATGGAGCATAATAATACTGTAGTCAGATATTAAAAATATTTCACACACACATCATCTGATAATGTGCCAAAAGTGTTAAATAAAGGATGTACTTGTAAAATACATTAATTTATTACATTTTTATGGAAATTACATGAAATTACAGGCATCTTGATGGAGCGAGTCCGTGAGAACGGGGAGAACCAACATGGCAGCAGGTGACTAATTATTTTCGGCCTGTCAGTATTCCGCCGCAGTAGTAGCCCGCTGGGTTTTTATTTTTCTTTCTTGCTTGCTTTAAGGTTCAAGGCAATGGCGTAAATATCGGCAAGTAGAGACTGACACCTATTAGTAGGCCCCCCCACGCAATTGTGGATTAGGACGTCTCTTTGCAGACGTAATGGTATGAAAAATTCCTCTCATATTCACCTAATACTGTAATACATAACCACATTGGACCTTATTTATACCCCAACACATGCCAGACGTAAACATTATGGTGAGCCGTTTAAACACGACACCATTAGCAAAGCAGACAGATGTACTTTTAATTACTATGTTAATATTTATGTATAGTTCATTATACGGTTGGTAAAAAAAAAAAAAGTACACTCATATAATACCGCATTAAATATCTTAAAAGAATGATTCATTTGAGTATTTCATTTTTTTACTCTACAACTTGAAATTATGGGTAATCCAGAGGTGTTGTACTTCATATGGGGCCCACCCAGATAATTGTTGTGTCGTTACGTCATTGGATCAAGGTGTTGTGCCTTCAAATGTTGCGTTCTGTAAACCTTTACAGCTACTTCACTTTTGCAGGTCTGCTTAATCTCCTTAGATTTTTTTTTTAACTGTAATTTTGGTCCCACACCAGTTTATGAAATGCCTCAGCAGCTCAACAGTTAAAACTTGGCTTGCAGATCACACAAATACATTCTGGTGGGGGTTTTTTTTTATTGATCGAATGCATAAATGCACCGAAGCTTTGCAAACCCATTGAAGTGTATACTGCATGTGTCAACAAACAACTGAATCCGTCCACACCCCTTATTCATCTTTTGTAACCGGAACACCCCTCCGGTTGACGGATAGAGGCCCCGAGAAATGCAGGACAGCCATTGGATAAAATCGTCATCAATCAGAAACGCGCTCTGTGATTGGTCAGCTCTCTAAACATTACACAACACGTTTCATAAATGTAAACTGTGCGAGTTGTGTAAGGTTTAAATCGCAGAGTTCGTCTTTGCGCTTATTTCCTGCAAGGGGATCACATTAGTGCATCTCTGTTAACTGACACGGTAAGAGAGTTTGATGGAGTATTTGCTTAAGATTGGGGAGTTTTTGCCTGCAGTGAGAGAACCTTTAAAATGTTATATCTGAGATCCGTTGGATTATTTTAGAAATTAGCAGGGATGCACCAAAGTATTATGCAGCAGAGCATCTTACAGTGCTCATGAGGAAGTTGCAAACATATGCTGTTTGTGTTCTGTTTGTTTTTTCTAACTAAGATGATGTAAAATCCTTTAGTATTCTTGTGATCAAAATAACAGATAAACAGTCTCTTGCAAAAGTGTTCACATATTCTTTGATTTTTAAAGCCAAGTAGTTGGGCTTTTTTGTTATTTAGAAGATCAGAGGGAGCTTCAGGGAAATACACAACAGTTTGGGATTTTTTTTTTATGTACAAAATATCTCTATATATTTTTTACTTTACAGTTTGCACCTTTTATGATTTTTCAGCTATAATCCTAATTGAATATACATAAATTTATAGTGTAACAAATGTTACACTATAAATTTAAAATTACAATTACTAGAAACTCTGTTATTTAACATACTTTGTATCAGTAACTAAGCAATAAAAATAACTAGCTTTAAAAACTGGATTAATCACCTTTGTTCCTCCTTACCAACAGGTTTTATCATGTTGGGCTCAGGATTTCTGCTCCTCCTGGTAACACTGTGGCATCGGACCGATAGCCAGAACTCTGCTGCTTTCTTCCAAGTAGTAACTCAGACCATGTTGCCGCCTGACAGTGTGCACAATCCAACACAGCTCAACTATGGCATGGCTGTGACCGATGTAGATGGTGATGGTGACCTAGAAGTGGTGGTAGCAGGGTAAGGGGTGATATGTGTAAAGAAAGATATGGTGTGTGAAGGATTAAGCGTCTGACTAAAGCAAACCCTGATATGTTTTTTTAAAGATACAATGGTCCGAATCTGGTGCTGAAATATGACCCCAACCAAAGAAAGCTGGTAAACATCGCCATCGATGATGTAAATTCCCCATACTACGCACTTAGGGACAGAGCAGGAAATGCTATTGGAGTGACTGCCTGTGATGTAGACGGGGACGGACGTGAAGAGATCTATTTCCTCAACACAAACAATGCCTACTCTGGTAAATTTTAATTTAAGCAGTTAGATTCATCAATGCAAATATCTTTGGGGTAGCTAAATGACTCTGTTTGTTCAGGGCGTGCAACATATTCAGACAAGCTTTTCAAGTTCCGTAATGGTCGGTATGAAGATCTGCTCAGCGATGAACTCAATATCGCCCGTGGTGTTGCAAATCAAATGGCTGGACGTTCAGTTGCATGTGTGGATAGAAAGGTCTTTGCTCAGGCTTTTTTCTGTAGTTTCCATTTGCTTATCTATAGGAATATTCCTCTAAACTTGTTGGTGTTTTCCAGGGAACAGGCCGGTATTCCATATATCTGGCAAACTATGCTCAAGGAAGAGTTGGTCCACATGCCCTTTTGGAAATGGATGAGACCGCCAGCGATTTGTCCAAAGGAGTCATTGCCCTCTCTGATGTCGCCGCTCAGGCTGGGGTCAACAAGTTGACAGGTCAGAGATAATGCTCTAGAGCAGCAGCATGCACATTTTAGAACAAACGCTTCATGGTCTGCCTGCTATCCAGGTGGTCGTGGTGTGGTTGTTGGACCAATCCTGAACCAAATGAGGTCTGATGTGTTCTGCGACAATGAGAACGGTGCCAACTTCTTGTTTAAGAATAATGGAGATGGGACTTTTGTGGACATGGCCCAACAAGCAGGTGAGACAAAAAAATGGAAGAAGATAAGAAATTTTATTTGACAAGCATAGAAATTATCTACATTCAAAATAATCTATAATGCATTACTTTTGTGTTTTTCATATTTAACTAAAGTCCAGCATTTAGAGGCGCATCGATTGAATGGCCTTGATTTCCTTCATCTTGGGAGATCAGGGATCAGCAGATAATGAAATGTTAAACTGATCCTTTCTGTAGATCTTAGGTACCGGTACCTCTGCAAAGGTCTGAAAAACAGTACTCTAAACTTTGATTTACATTTGAGAAAAGTAATCGCAGGATATTCTATTGTTTCATAGTTACTGATTAATGCCTTTTAGTAAGATAAGATTGAAATATTTAAAGCTACAGTGTGTAATAATTACAGGGATATACAGTCAGAAATGTAATATATTATACATAACTATGTTATTTATCATCATCTACGAGCTCAGCCTCTTACCGTTAATATTTGCGTTGCCTTAGAATTCGTTATTTATAATTACATAGGAGCGGGTCGCGCAGCCATGAAGGCAGACATCTTTGCGCTACGGCAGCGCAGAGCCAACAAACTGGCGATTGCGAGATCGTCCATTACGCTCGAAAGTAACTACGGCAAGTTGAGAGAGATGAACTGAGACGGTACTGAAATCTATACCCTACACAGACTAATGAAATACTATCTGTAAAATTATCTATGTAAACAAACCTCATCACTTGAGAAGGTAGGTGATGCGGCGTCGTGGAAGACATTTTGTCCCGTAACGCTCGCCGTACTGTTGGGGGGGAGATGTTCATGTTGCTGTGGTCTGCAGTCTGGACGTTAGATGTCGCTGAAAATTACACACTGTAGCTTTAAGAGGTTTTTTGATCTTCTAACAACCGATAGTGTATTGATCTAATTTGCAATCGGCATGTCAGGCTTTTTAAAGATGGGGAATTGATAATCAGCCAGGAACCTGCAATTGGTGAACCCTTACTAGTATTGGAAACCAATTCAATTTCATTTATTTATAAAACACCATCCTACACTAGCTGCAAAACAAGTCCAATGCTAATAAAGTTCATTTAAATCATCACAATACTACATTTTGAATAAGATAAACTCAAATCATGTAGTTTTTGATATTACTATAATAGAGTACCAGACTTTGAATGGTATACCTTTAACTATATAGCACTTTATCAAGTCTGAGGCT